GCACTTCTTCGGGTCTTGCAGATTGGTGATAGAGAATCCAAAATACCAAATAACAATGATCACTTCGACAATAACTAAAATGGATAACACGTGTAAGTCAAAGAGGAAATAATGATATAATGAAAATATTGCCTTTCCCCTAATTGAAACAAAAAGTTAGGAAAGAAACGTCAATCTGTACTAAAAAAAAAGAGCGGAAATGATTAATGTTACTTGAGAAAACTATTTTCTTGTAAAACTTCAACTGACAAAAATGCTCAGTAATTCAGTCAATAAGCGCCGAATGTTTCCTTATAAGGAAACGGTTGATCCTACCATGTATCTATGATTATTACGTACATCCCGTTTACTTTGGGTACTTAGACGTGCTGCAATGGTTAGCAAACTTGTCTCGCTAGATCAATTACGATGGAATAGTGAGTTCGATCCTCACTGGGCGCTCCACACTTTCAGCCTTGTGCCACATCTAAGCTACGCTTAGAAAATCATTTGGACGCTTCGACGTGGTGCAATGGTTAGCAAGCTTGTCTCGCTAGATCAATTACAATTGAGTAGTGAGTTCGTTCCTAACTGGGCGCTCCACACTTTAGGCCTTGTGCCACGTCTAAGCTACGCTTAGATAATCACCAACCCGTATACATTGGGCATTCCTGAGATCTTGCGAAAAAATCTCACTGAATTCTTTAAGTCTGCCTGAGGGTGTCTTCTTATCCAGCCGAGTCCCAGCGAAGCAAAATCACTGAATGGAGTGCTATTAAGGACATCATCATAGATTTCGAATAAGTATCGAAGGGAACGCCCTTGATTGGTGGGAATATTCAATTGTTCCAGAGAGGGGGTTTCTTTTACAGAAGAATCTATTGAGATGCCGGGTTCTTGGGGGTGGGGAGTTGAATACTGAAAATTCTGTTGTTAGGTTAGGGTTGAATTGATTATCGTGCACATGTTCAGCTTTATTGATTTATTCTTCTTCTCGACAATCGATCTGACAATGCAACAGGAGAGAACGAAAATGAAGGTAGTAGGAATGAAGGAAAAAAGAAGAAGAGTAGGAATGAGTGTGTAAAGAAAGAAAGAAAGAAAGAAAGAGAGAAAGAAAGAGAGAAAGAAAGAAAGAAAGAAAGAAAAAGAAAGAAAGAAAGAAAGAAAAGACATATTTAGAGTAAAACGAATGTAAATACAAAAGAAGAAAAGAGAACGAAAGCTGAAAGCATAAATGGAAGACAAAAAAGGAAAAAGAATAAAAAGAAAGAAAGAAAGAAAGAAAAAAAGAAAGAATGAAATAATACAACAGAAAGAAGGAAGGGTGAATCAGTAAAAAGAAAGAAAATTAGAAGGAAGGAAAAGTAAAAAGAAAGTAAAAAAGATTAAATGAAAAAGGGGGGAAATAAAATCAAAGGATAAAATGTGAAGGAGTGAAAGACGAATGAATTGAAATAAATATTTGAAAAGAAAAAAAAGAAAAGTAACGAAAGAGAAAGAAAAGGAGGAAGGATAAAAAGAAAACAGGTTTGAAAAAGAATATTTTAAGGACAGTTAGATAGAAATGACATGGCTACTAGGAGTGAAAAGAATAAGGATAGATAGATAGATAGATAGATAGATAGATAGATAGATAGATAGATAGATAGATATGAACAGACTGAACCAGATATTGACAGAATGAGATAGATAGATAGATAGATAGATATGAATAGACTGAGATAGATAGATATGAACAGACTGAAATAGATAATAACAGAATGAAATATATATATATATATATATATATATATATATATATATATATATATATATATATATATATATATATATAGATAGATAAATAGATAGATAGATATGAATAGATAGATAGATAGATAGATATGAACAGATTGAAATAGATAATAACAGAATGAGATAGATAGATAGATAGATAGATAGATAGATAGATAGATAGATTGAAATTAAGACTGAGATAGAGATAGATATATAGTTATTAACAGTGAGATAGATAGATAGATAGATAGATAGATAGATAGATAGATAGATAGATAGATATGAACTGCTCAGATATGAACATACTGAAATAGATAAATAGATAGAAATTAAGACTGAGATAGAGATAGATATAAAATTATTAACAAAGTGAGATAGATAGATAGATAGATAGATAGATAGATAGATAGATAGATAGATAGATAGATAATGATGATGGCCGCCTATTCACGTTCGCTCCCCACCTTGCACCTCTCTCGTCCATGACCCCGAAGGTCACTTGCCAGGCCGGATGCGGACTTGCACGACTTGTTACACAAGTGACAGACGAACAATGTGCTTGCCACAACCTTGATGGATTCACACCACTGTACCTAATTCCTGTGCACCGCCATGTGCCTTTTCAGTCCGGGTCTGGTTTTGTATACCTTGTCACACAGCGTGCAGGCTGTGACACTCTGTATCTCTGTAATGTCAAGGGTGATTTTTCTTCTTTATGTGACTTCATATGATTCACCCAGCCAGCCTTTGAAAGAAGTATGCACGGACAGGAATCACATGTCCAGCCCTTGATATCCTCGTTGAGTCCATGGTTATCAGACATTTGAAGTCACCGCTTCAGCCGTTTGTGTTCCAAATGACATTCTTCGAAGAGCTGACCCCCCCCCCGTCTCATATATTTTTATATGTTTGCTGACTAGTGTTCCAGTTTCGTAGGCGTTTAGAAGAACTGTCAGAACGCAAGCTCTATGCACACATACCTTGGTATGGTTGGTAAGATAGATAGATATGAACCGACTGAAATAGATAGATATGAACAGACTGATATATATATATATATATATATATATATATATATATATATAGATAGATAGATAGATAGATAGATAGATAGATAGATATGAACAGACTGAAATAGATAGATATGAACAGACTGAAATATATATATATATATATATATATATATATATATATATATATATATAGAGAGAGAGAGAGAGAGAGAGAGAGAGAGAGAGATAGATAGATAGATAGATAGATAGATAATGAACAGTCTGGGATAGATACAAACTAAGAAAGAAATAAATAAATTGATAGACACATATATCTATAAAATAAGATAGATAGATAGATAGATAGATAGATAGATAGATAGATAGATAGATAGATAGAAATTAACAGACTGATATCGATATATAAATATTAACATAGATAGATAGATAGATAGATAGATAGATAGATAGATAGATAGATAGATAGATAGATATGAACAGACTGGAATAGATATTAACAGAACGAGATAGATAAATATGAATAGACTGAAATAGATAGATAATGAACAGACTGAGAGAGATAGACAGGTAGATGCAAACGAAGAAAGAAAGAAATTGATAGACACATATATCAATAGACTATGATAGATAGATAGATAGATAGATAGATAGATAGATAGATAGATAGATAGATAGATAGATAGATAATAAACAGAATGAGATAGAACGAAAGATGTTTGAAAGAAATCATCCAAATACAGCATGTATAACCAACACCTATATCGACTATGCCACCATCCCACCGGGACAAAATATCAGAATAGTCAACAGTTAAGGCATCTAAACCAATCAATGGACACCTGATGATGGTCGAAACTCTTTGTCTAGAGTAACGGCCAAGATGAGAAAAAATGTTCGAAATAACAATGCAATAATGCATTGATACTTGCACATCTAAGAAATGAAATACTAAATTACGTAAATAATCTTTGTTATTATTATTATTATTATTATTATTATTATTATTATTATTATTATTAAATATATCTATATATACCTACATATCTATATATACATGTCTTCTCATGCCTGGTTGTTAGCAAAAGCGAACAGCCCAACATGGAAATTACAAATAGGCGATGGCAAAATCAAATAAGTACGGCAATTTAAACACATCTGCGAAGTGTTTCAAAAGAAGACTGAAATGCGACACTGAAATCCGAAAGCGCATTGGGATAGCGAAAGATGCCTTCTAAAAGCAAAGTAAAGTATTAAGATACAGAATTCAGTAAGAAACAAAGAAAAGAGTACTGAACTGTTACGTGATATCAGTTCTCCTATATGGCAGTGAATCTGCTCAAAGATGAAGAAGAGACTTGAAGTACGACAAACAAAGAAAAGTCTACTGAACTATTAAGTGATATCTGTCCTCCTATATGGCAGTGAATGCTGGACAATCTCCTCACAAATGAAGAAGAGACTTGAAGCAAGAGAAACAAACGTGTACTGAACTATTAAGTGATATCTGTCCTCTTATATGGCAGTGAATGCTGGACAATCTCCTCGCAAATGAAGAAGAGACTTGAAGCAAGAGAGACAAAGAAAAGTGTACTGAACTATTATGTGATATCTGTCCTCTTATATGGCAGTGAATGCTGGACAATCTCCTCACAAATGAAGAGCCTTGAAGCAAGAGAAATAAAGGAAAGAGTACTGAACTATTAAGTGATATCGGTCCTCTTATATGGCAGTGAATGCTGGACAATCTCCTCACAGATGAAGAAGAGTCTTGAAGCAAGAGAATGTGCTTCTACAGGAGGATGTTGCGGATACCATGGACTGAAAATGCGAGCAACAATGAAGTTTTAAAGAAAATGGAAACAAAAAGGACATTAATACTTCATATCAGAAAGAGAAAGTTAAAATGTCTATGGCATATAATAAGGAAAGAAGGTTTGGAGGATTTGATACCCATAGGACAGATTGAAAGAAAGAAGGACAGAGGAAAACAATGTATAATTTACCTAGCGAACTTGTGCAAATGGATCGCAGAATAGGGTTTAGGAGAGATAACATGAATGTCAAAATTTATTATGATCTACAAAGGACGGGAAATTATAATCTTTAACCTCCTGATGAACACAGTACATAGAAGTCTTTTTCATACCTTATGCTAAAGATAATGAAATTTTCCTGGTGATCTTATTATGACCGGTACTGAATTTTGAATCATGATTAATACCTTTAAAAATGTCGCTTATATTAACAGATGGTATGTAGTCTCACATGATTTTTAATAATGATGTCCAAAGTTGCATATGTCAAAAAAGACAAAAATAGTGCGGGTGTAAAAGGCAGCTTTTTATTGCCTTTGTTCATTTGCTATTGGATATGAAAAAGAACTTGTGTTTAAATCGCATCCGGTAAGGGTGTTGCCTTTTCGAAAGCAGAAAAGGAAAATGATAAGGCTTTTGTGTCAATAATTAACTAGAAAAAAACAATAATTTGTTGAGTGAAAATATGTAAAAAAAAAAAAAAAAATACAAAACTGAAGAGAAAAAGTTAGAGGGGAAAAGAGAGAGATAAGAGGAAAAAGGAAGAGGGGGAAAGAGAGATAAGAGAAAAAGAGAAAAAAGGAAAGAGGGGGGGAAAGAGAGAGATAAGAGGAAAAAGGAAGAGGGGGAAAGAGAGAGAGATAAGAGGAAAAGGAAGAAGGGGAAAGAGAGAGAGATAAGAGGAAAAGGAAGAAAGAAAAAATGAAACAAAATAGTTGATTGTGGGCAACAAAAAATTTTTTTTTTAAATTTAAAGTCAGACATAAAAATAATAATTTTACTTCGTTAGAGTTTATTTTCTGTCAAAATTATGAGTGTTTTTGTGAATGGGGATAGATATTATAAACTATTAGTTACGCAATATATTGCTTATATAAATGTTACTAGCGCATATCCTCATGGATATTGCGACTTTTATAAGCCGTTTTTTATGCAAAAAATAGGGAGTCGCACTATAAGCAGTTCATTTTTAGATTGATTAAAAAACAATGCATTTTTCGTGACCCCTTGAACTATATGCATGTAAATCGTTTTCTGAAAGGGTTAAAAATCAATGCATTTTTCGTGACCCCTTGAACTATATGCATGTAAATCGTTTTCTGAAAGGGTTAAAAAACAATGCATTTTTCGTGACCGCTTGCAATATATGCATGCAAACCTTTTTCTGAAAGGGTTAAAAATCAATGCATTTTTCCTGACCGCTTGCAATATATGCATGTAAACCTTTTTCTGAAAGGGTTAAAAATCAATGAATTTTTCGTGACCGCTTGCACTATATGTATGTAAATCGTTTTCTGAAAGGGTTAAAAATCAATGCATTTTTCATGACCGCTTGCACTATATGCATGTAAATCGTTTTCTGAAAGTGTTAAAAATCAATGCATTTTTCTCAATTATCGAATAAAAGAATATAGCATACATTATACGAATTGTCGCATAAAAGAATATAGCATACATTATACGGACCGAATATATTCAGGCAGATGGACAAAATGTAGGTGGGTGTCCATCAGGCACCCAGTGGACGTCAGGCAGTCGTTGGTCCAGCTTATGTGTCAAATTGTTGTATATTATCATCTTTAGTTTCAACTTTTTTCTTTTTTTTAATGACCGTATTTTCCAGCTTACAAGACGCATTTATTCCTAAAAAAAAAATACCCTGAAAAATACGTGTGCGTCTTCCAAGGCGAATTTAAAGCAACGCCCAGGCCAAAGTAAGCTTGGGCGGTCACCTAATTGGCTTGACTGATAGTGATATGGATTTTTTATGTTGAGTCATTACACTATAATGTTAGCTATCTATCTAATTCAGCCTTTTATATGATGTAACCTCAGTACTAAGCCGTTGAAAGTATTTCCAAGACTATAAACCTTCCTGGAGCCGAGTCACAATCTTAAACATGCTCTGTTTACAAGCAGCGGCAGATGGTAGTAAGGATCATTTATTGTGCGTAACTGACTGTAGTGGTGACTCTGCAGATAATAGTTTAGAACTTCTTGGGATTTGAGGCTAAATAAAATTTCTTTGGTTGTTTTATATTTTTACATGCATATTTTTTAAATTTTTATAAAAAATAAAACCACCCTTGGTCAATGAAAAACGTATAGTATATTTATCAACCACCAACTAGTATGTCATTGCTATACAAACAAAATCGGACGAGTGATTAATGTAAACAATACGTGGCGCCAGTATATTGAGGGGCGCATGGTGAATGTGTTGTTGTATGAGAGTAACTTTTTTCTTAGAAATTTCTTTGTAATATTAGGGTGCGTCTTCCGAGGCGCAGCGTCTTCCGAGGCGCAGCGTCTTCCGAGGCGCAGCGTCTTCCGAGGCGCAGCGTCTTCCGAGGCGCAGCGTCCTCCGAGGCGCAGCGTCTTCCGAGGCGCAGCGTCGTCCGAGGCGCAGCGTCCTCCGAGGCGCAGCGTCTTCCGAGGCGCAGCGTCCTCCGAGGCGCAGCGTCTTCCGAGGCGCAGCGTTCTTCCGAGGCGCAGCGTCCTCCGAGGCGCAGCGTCTTCCGGAGGCGCAGCGTCTTCGAGGCGCAGCGTCCTCCGAGGCGCAGCGTCTTCCGAGGCGCAGCGTCTTCCGAGGCGCAGCGTCTCCGAGGCGCAGCGTCTTCCGAGGCGCAGCGTCTTCCGAGGCGCAGCGTCTTCCGAGGCGCAGCAGGCGCAGCGTCTTTCTTTTTCCTCCGAGGCGCTCTTCCGAGGCGCAGCGTCTTCCGAGGCGCAGCGTCCTCCGAGGCGCAGCGTCTTCCGAGGCGCAGCGTCTTCCGAGGCGCAGCGTCCTCCGAGGCGGAAAATAGAGTTTTTTCTTTTCCTTCATCTCTTCGCTCGCCTAACTTCTTTTTTCTTCTTTGTTTTTTCTTCATTCTTTTTATTACCTTTTCTTTTATCTCGCCCTCTCTTTTTTCATACCAGAACTTTCTTTTCCGTCTTTTTTTTCTATCTTTTTCATTTCATTATTATTCTTTTACACCACTCCCTCGTTCTGAATCTTTTCTTTCTTTGCCTTTTCTTTCTTTTTTCTCTTATTACCTTTTCTTTAGCCTCTTCATCTCTTGTAATTTCCTTTTCGTTTTTATCTCTCTTCTTTCTTTTCGTTATATTTCTTTCACATTACATTCGTATTTTCTTCCTTTGTCACTCGTCCTTTTCTTTCGACATTTTTTAAAATCGGAAACAAATTTCATGCCTATATCGATTTCAACAGAAAAAAAAAATTAAGCCTGTCAAATGATGTCTATTTAGTTTCGCGGACAAATCTGTCAAAGAAAAGAGTCCTGTGTCTGATGAGAACACATTTGACAATACCTAATGCCCATAAAAGAAAATTGATTTGTTACGTAATATCAGTCCGCTTATATGTTCGAAAATACAGGACAATCTCCCCACAGATAAAGAAGAGACCTGACACAACAGAAATGTGGTTCTACAGTAGGATGTTGAGAATACCATGGACCAAACATATGAGCAACGATGACGTATCAGAGAAAATGGAAACAAAACGACATACTTAATTTTAGAGACAGTTAAAATTTATAGGGCATATAATGAGGAAATAGGGCTTGGTAAATGTGATACTCACAGGGTCAGATTGAAGGCAAGAGAGGAAACATTGCATAACCTATCTAGCGAGCTTGTGTAAATAGATAGTAGGACAGGCTTTAGGAAAGATAACAAAAAGATAAAATTTATTAACAGCTACAAAGGATAGAAAAATTGTGGAGAGCCATGATCCCCAACGTTCTGAAGAGACACAATGCATAGGAGAAGTCTTAAGCAGAGTAGTCAAAGACAGAAAAAACTTCGTGGGAAACAAGGAAAATAGTGCTGAAGTGTTATGTGATATCTGTCCTTCTATATGGCAGTGAGTGATGGACAATCTCCTCAAAGATGAAGAATAGACTTGAACCAACAGAAAAGTGGTTCTACAGAAAGATACTGAGGATAACTTGAATCGAACATGTGAGCAACGATGAGGTTTTGGAAAAAATGAAAACAAGAAGGAAACTCATACTTAACACCAGGAAGAGGCAAGTGAAATTTCTGGGGCACAAAATGAGGAAGGAAGGTTTGGAAAATTTGATACTCACAGGACAGATTGAGGACAAGAGGTACAGCGCATAGCATAATTCATGAGCTTGAATAAATGGATGGCGGAACAGGTTTTAGGTGAATAGCAAAGAGACCAAATTTATTAAGAGCTACAAAGGACAGGAAATTGTGGAGAGTCGTGATCGCCGAAGTCCTGAAGGGACGCGGCATATAGAAGAAGAAGAAGAAGAAGAAGAAGAAGAAGAAGAATGAGCTTGAGTAAATGGATGGCGGAACACGGTTTAGTAGAGATAACAAAAAGACCAAATTTATTAAGAGCTACAAAGGACAGGAGATTGTGGAGAGCCATGATCGTCAATGTCCTGAAGGGACGCAGCACATAGAATAAGAATAATGAGCTTGAGTAAATGGATGGCGGAACACGGTTTAGGAGAGATAACAAAAAAAACAAATTTATTAAAAGCTACAAATGACAGGAGATTGTGGAGAGCCATGATCGTTAAGATCCTGAAGGAACACGACATATAGAAGAATAAAAAAAAAGAAAAAAAGAATGCCACACTGATTTTTTGTCAAGTAGGCCATTCCTACTTGAAAGACTCTCGTGGCACAATTCACCAAAGCTACATTTTCAGGGTTTAGAAGAGATAACAAAAAGATCAAATCTATTAAGAACTACAAAGGACAGGAAATCGTGGAGAGCCATGATCACCTATGTCCTAAAGAGACACGGTACATTGAAGAAAAAAAAGAAGGTTTGCCCGAGATGAGGGTTGAAGCTTTAATATACTGCGTGAACTATCGAAATATTCAAAGGCGATCATTTTTAAAGTCGAATATAAAGTCGTGTATTCTGGATTGAAACTTAATACCAAAAAAGAAAAATTTCTTCATTTGATATTATAATTGAGCGTAAAAATGTTTTATTGTGGCTCAATGGCGACTATTTTATGCACTGCATTCCAAATGTCATTCTTCGATATATGATGATAATTGCAACATATAGCAGGACAGACTTGGTTCTATAGCCTTGAGTGGCAAACAGTCTAGGAGAAGGAAAGCTCTGAATTCAAAACTGTATGTCGCCCAGCCGAAGCACATACTAAGTAACTAAGAAGAGTATCGTTCGCATTGACTCGATGATCCATACTTTGCGCGACTCCTTTTTGTAGATAATTGTTATTTTATAAATAGTACTTCGTTAAATTAGGGGTTAACACATAAATGATCATCAAGCGTAAAGTGGCTCCTTATTCCAGTAGATAATTTGCCCGGCTTGAAGCACAGTGGCCTAAGAAAAGTTTTTAGCCAGGAGAAATAAACTACATCCAATTTCAAAATTTAATTACGTAATCCCAACTCAACATAAATAAACAGTATTTGGAACTAGTATGGAGTAGGTCTTTCAATTGCTAATTTCAGTGTTTGTATTCGATTTTCCATGGATTTGATCAAGTTATCAACAATCATCTGATCCATATTCTGCCACCCCTTTAGCAATGTTTCTTTAAAGGTTGCCACTGACGTGATTTTGGTTGCATGCTCTCGAAGTCTTCGGTCAATGTGCTCCCAAACATGCTCTATTGGATTCATGTCAAGATTTTGGGCTACCCATGGCTGTGACTTGATTCCTTGCGATTCCTTGCAGGTCTTTGCTACTTTGCTCGTATGAAATGGTGCTCCATCTTCTTGAAAATGTTCGACATTCTTGTTAATCTGATTGGTTTCTAATAGTGGGAGCAGTCCTTTCTTTAATATTTGACAGTATATTGGACCATTCAACCGCTCGTCAACAAGTATCAGCTCAGATTTCCCTCCAAACCAGACAGTGCCCCCACACCATTACTCCAATTCCTCCATGTTTCACGGTCGCCTGCAGATATTCAGTGTTCCAAGTTTCATTATGATTTCTCCAAACATAAGCCAGTGTTGAATTCGAATATTGGCAGAATTTACTTTTATCTGACCAAATTACAGACTGACAAAATTCATAATTTTTACTCACGAATTCCCTTGCCCAGTCCATACGAAAGTTCTTGTTAACCTCTGAAATCAAGGGCTTCTTTCTTGCAACTCTTCTTTGAAAGCCTGGCTCTTTCAGTGTCTTTCTCACCGCATATGTCGGCATTTCCATGCTTTTGGCGACACTGACGACGGTTTCTGATAACATCCCTATTCAGTGCTCTTTCCGTTCGCTCAGACATGATGCTTGGTCTTCCTGAACGTTGTTCCACACGACAATGGCCTTCTTTATTAAATTTCTTGACAATATTATTAACCATTTGATGATTAACCTGGAAAAACCTAGCAATTTCTCTATTTGACTTGCCACACTGATGCCGTCCTATTATTTGCCCTTGTTGAAATTCACTAATTTCCTTACTTCCACGAACTTTCATTGCAAAATATAAGTCAACTATCGTTCATAAATGAGAATAGCTTGTTACTAGCACGCTATTGTCTGAAAAAAAAGAAGAGTCGTTATTACGCAAGCCAAAATTGCTGTAATCAAAAGTAGCTAAAAACTTATCATAGTCCACTGTAAAAGTAGCTAAAATAATCAAAAAAAATCAAAAGTTTACTAAAAAGTAATCATAGTCCAATTACAGAAAAGTGTCAAATTGAGAAGTGTCATCTTCATGTCTTTTTAGATCCGGACTGGATTAACGAATTTTACAATGGATCGCACAAACATTTTCAGCTGATCTTGGAGGACGGCCATCAAGATTAAGTGCATTGTCATGAGATTTAAGAGGGTTGACACGACTGGATTTCGATTTCAAGACACAGGGGCAAATATTATACTTCGAAGGTTATAGGTCGAAGGTCAGATATATCACTCTGTTTATGAGTACGATTCAACTTCACTTGTTGGATATATATATATATATATATATATATATATATATATATATTGCCAATTCAAAAAAGACATTCGGATTACTAACACAAAAACAGAGAATGTCTCATATCGAGAATATTTAACATTGAAAAATATAAGGAAAAATTAATTATTTTTAATATGTGGAAATTCCGCTTTTACCTGAAGACGGTCACGAGACCAGAAACACGTGCAGTAAAAAAAATGGAAAATAAAGCATAATATTTTTTCTAAAAAAAACACATTACAACCAAAAAAAAACGTTTGCGGCACCTCTCTTCTTTTTAATATACATACTTTTCTCTCGTTGGAACCACTACAACCTCTTTTTTTATATATATATATATATATATATATATATATATATATATATATATATATATATATATATATATATATATATATATATATATATATAAGTAAGTTTTATATCCAACAATTGTGGTTGCAGCATAAACAGGGTGCTATATCTATTATATGTACATGGAGGCACAGTGGAGTAATGGATAGCGGCTCGGATTGAGGAATCGGAAAGCCGAGTTCGAATTCCAGTCGGGTCCATTACATTCACTTACGTGCTATGAATCGTCTTCTCCACCCCGCTCCAAGCTATGGGTTCTATAGCCTTGAGCAGCAACTCTTCCAGAAGAGGGACAACTCTGAATTCAAAGTTGGCCTAGTTGGGCTCCGTCAGGCTATCTTGCCCAAGAAACACCATTTCTACTGTGGTCACGGGATAGAACACACACACACACACACATATATATATATATATATATATATATATATGAATATTGTCTATAACCATGTACATATATAATACATGCATAAAATGACTGCAAGCACATATAGATATGTATATAATTGTGAACACAAAAAGCGATATACATTCGTATATATACTTGGTTGTATACTGGGGACGTAATCATAACACGCACACATACAAACACACGCATACAAACACACGCACAAATGCATTGTTCTACAGAAACACACGGATCCTCCGAAATGCATATATTGCGCATACATACACGCACACCCATATCATCACAGATGCACACATCTACGCACATAAAAACGTTCACAAATACACAAACACTTAAAACCTAAACACACGCAAATATAAGTATGCATGCATGCAACATTTAAAAATCCCGTATATTTCTTCTGGATGTAGGCGATTACGGCTCTCCACACGTTCTTTTTATTATCTTTTAATTGCCATGACTTTTTAAAAATCATTTCATAACAATGAAGGCGATAATGCCACTAAGACGCAAGGTGTTACTGGGCGTGGGAGAAAATAAGAAATCTTTAGTGAGGAAAAATGACGATTAAAGAACAGATTTCAGAAAGTCAGATGGCAATTGGCGTTGCATTTAAAATTTTAAGTTTGTAGATGAAGAAAGAAACTGGAAGACAGTGAGACAGATGAAAAGTGCGAGAAAAGAAACTATTAGAATAGAATTTACGGTTACGTCTAGCTATTTCAAGAGTAAAACAATGCGACCTAACTGCCAATCTAGTACTACGCTTACATTTATATGGTCAAGGTACTAAGGAGGAGAGTTTATTACAACAAATGCTATGATAATATTTAAGCAAAAGACACAGCGAAGGTACATCAAGGCAAGGTACCGTAAGTCAAGATGCCAGGTGAGGACCGATAACATTACAGATCCTTCTTTGGATTTTGTCGAGAATCTCAAGATATATAGTAGGAACACCAGATCAGATATGGCAACAATATTCAATGCACGGACGAATGGTAGATTTATAAATGTGCAAGATGAATTCTGACGAGAAAAATTGTCAGGCACAATACAAACTTTCCTCGCAGTAGACGTAGCAATTGATTCAATATAATTGCTCCACTTCATGTCAGTAGAAGACGGAAGACGAAAAGGAGGCAATGAGCTGCTCTCCTGAAGGTTAGCATCAGCCATGATGATGAAGAGCAAAAATGGTTCTCTATGATGGTTAAAAAAATAGCGGTTTGGTTTTGGAGGCATTAAAATTTAAAAGCCATTTCTTACCCTAATTAACAACTGATTTTCTAGAGCAGACGTCAGTTTTATTTTTTTTACTGTTAAGTCGTATCGGGGATAAATATCTGTGTCATTAACATAAATACTTATTTGGGAATTGATAATATCGGGAAATAGTTGATGAACACTAGATTAGAGAGGTGTTTTCTTGTTACCTCCACCACAATTGGGAAATCAATGCTTTCTTTCTCTTACATTGGTTGCCAGCCAAGTCCAAAGAATCCAGTTTCGTTCGCTATTTAATTCAAGCTTGTTGAAGAAGACTTTTGTCATGCCTTTTTCAAGGGCATTTATGCGAAAGTGAACACAACCGGAATTTTAACTCGGCACGCCGATTCCACGTTCCACGCCGAAAATTCTTACACTACCCGTATGTTCTATGTATATATACAATCACATAAAATTCTTCTTACAAAAAAAAAGAAGACAGAAAAATAAACACATACAGGCACATAATTATTTACATACGCACGCATAGAAATGGCGACGAAAGGAGGCAAAGATCAGAACAGTCTTACGTCACCAAAAAAAAAAAGAAGAAAACGTAAGAACAAAAAAACGATAATAGAGAAAAGACGTTTAACGACATCATAAGGACCGCTCCCGCTTTTTCTGCTGCTGCTCCTGCTGCTGATATTGACGCTGCTTGTCAGCTGCACCTGTGCAAAATGCAATCTGCACTTGTTTTGCTTTCCATTTCATTTCATTCTTCCTTCCTTTTTATTTATTTACTTTATTATTTTGTTATTTTTTCTTCAGTTTTTCATTTTAATTTCCTTCTTACTTTCTTTCTTTTTTGTAAGCCTTAAATTCCTTTACTTTCTTTTTTTTTCATTCTTTCTCTCATTCAGCTTTTTGTTATAAAATTTCCTTCTTAAAATCTTCGCTCAATTCTTTATTTCTAACTCTTTCTCTACGTCACGTGTCTCCTTTTTTTTTTCCTTTTGCCTTTTTTTCATTCTTTCGACTTCCCCGCTTTTCTTTTGAAATCATCTCAGTTCATTCGTTCCTTCCTTCCCCTTCCCTCTCTTCCTTCTTTCGTTTCTTCTTTCTTTTTGCCTTCAAACTTCTTCTCTTCCTCCTTTTCCTTCTTTTTTCCTTCCTTCCTTCCTATTTTCTATCCTCCCTTGATTTCTTTTTCCTTTCTTTCCTTTCCTCTTCCTTTCTTTCTCTTCCTTCCCACTTCCTCCCTCCCAATACTATCTACCTTCCTTTATTCTGTATTCATTCATTCCTCCCTCCCTCCCTCTTGCTTCATTCTCCCTCCCTCCCTCTTGCTTCATTCTCCCTCCCGCCCTCCTTTTCCCTTCCTTCTTTCCTTCCTACCTTCTTTCCTTCCTACCTTCTTTCCTCCGTCCATTTATTTTTCCTTTCTTTCCTTCCTTCCTCCTTTTTCTCTTCCTTCACCTCTCTTTCTTATTTCCTTCCTTCCTTCCTTCCTTCCTTCCTTCCTTCCTTCCTTCCTTCCCTTTCTCTTCCTTCCCTTTCTCTTCCTTCACCTCTCTTTCTTATTTCCTTCCTTCCTTCCTTCCTTCCTTCCTTTTCTCTTCCTTCACCTCTCTTTCTTATTTCCTTCCTTCCTCTTTCCTTCCTTCCTTCCTTCCTTCCTTCCTTCCTAATTTTCTTCTTTCCTTCTTCTCTCTTCCTTCCTTCAAACTTCCTCACTCTCTTCTTTTCTCTCCCTTTCTTCTTTCACTCCCTCCCTTCCTTCTTTTCTTTCTCTCTTCCTTCTTGCACATTTCTCTGATAAATAAAATTCACTCACTTTTCTTTCTGCTTCCTCATTCCAATCAATTCCATTTTGCCTTGGCCTCTTTTTTATTTATATTTTTTTCTCATCCACTTTTTTCTTTGTCTTCTCTTTTTATGCCTTTTTTCCTTTCTTTTTTTCCCCCACTATTCTTTTTTTCCCCTTCTTTCTTTGTTGGCCACCCGCCTATAGACACGCTCCTTTAATTTTCTTAAGGACATCTTCTGCTGAATTCGCGACTGAATCTTGTGTACGCATTTACTTCGTAAACAAAAAGAGAGAAAAAAAATCTGTGTCTAAAAATTCAACAGTACATAGAGTGCGTTGTTTGATAAGAAAGACGCCCGTCGCAGAGCCATTAAACATTCCTTTCATTGTTCTTTAATTAAGGCCTTTTGTCAGATTAGCTTATATGCTCAGTTATGTATATTATTTGAGAAAAAAAAGACGCTTAGGGCTATGGTTAAAACAGGAAAAAAAATCCGTCTGCCGCTCAATTAAAAAGTGTGTCTGATTAAATTAAACTTAGTAAATATAATAGCGCCTCCTGCTGGGCGATAATTAGCAAAATAGTCAAGCAAACCTGACTGGGTGCTCCATTATCTCAATTGTGTGCCATACTAGGTTTAACCTAGTAAATAAATATCTGCATTGTTTAAAATAGAACGAAAGAAGAACAGAATAGAGAACGGACGAATAATGAAGAAAGGAAGAAAAGAAGAAAAGAAGAAAGGAAGAAAGGAAGAAAAGAAGAAAAGAAGAAAGAAGAAAGGAAGAAAAGAAGAAAAGAAGAAAAGAAGAAAGAAGAAAATTAGCATTTCTTTTACGTAAAACTGATTTACATTTGTAAATCTTTTATGAAGCTCCGATGTGCCTAGAAACATAGTAACTGGATTTAGCTTCAAATAGAATGTGTTGATATTACATTAGAAAATAAAGAGGAAGCTCCATTGGGATTTTTATAGGAAGACACCAATGTCAATGCGTGTATTCCAAACATTTAGAAGCATTTATAAACGCTTATCGATTCTTATGCAATAACCGTATAACCCTTAAAAATTCCGCGGTCCTTTGCCATTGGAAGAATGAAATTGAATAATTCACATATTTTAATCATCAAAAAAAAAAGCAATAAAGAATTTATACTTAAAAATGCCTTATTTATTGAAGATTCTGTCATTATATGATGAATGACTATTATTAACTGTTCTAGTTCAAATACTTTCTTAAAGACAACATTCTTCACCTTTATTGTTCTATAAACAATTCTGCCACTTTAATCACGATAGAAAAATCAGTAGAAAACAGTAGGAGGTTAAATACATATTGTTGTGCAGGGCCGGTTTGTACTAACTACACCTGAACCCCACGACCGTGACAAGCCTGATTGTGCGCCCTGGGCAGTGTTTTGTGACCTTCTCTATCTTATCAACATTTGCTTTTTTTTCTCCCTAAATTTGTATACGTTACAAATTAAACAAAGTAAAACTGATTATTAAAGAGTGGAAAATTTTCGCGGATTTTGACGTCATCCTGGGTTCATTTGTTTTCGTCCAAATCTGTGAATTTGTTTTGTTCATGCTAAGTCTCGAAAAAACACTATATAAAATTCGCCATTTTTTTATCCATAATGTTGAAGCTGTTAAAATTATTCAACTTTTTAACAAGAAAATCTCAAGCTGATATTAAAAATTGCCGTAAAACATTGTTGATTGAATGATCTGTATTTAGATAAATTGTATTTATTTTCAATTTTTCTAGTTGAATTATTCACCTACATTGCATATGATCCATTATTGTACATAATTAGTTTACAATAAAAATTATTTATTTTATATGAATATTACTTGAGAAAATTGAGATGTAGCAGAGTGGGAGCGTTTCATAGATTGGGGAGGGCATGAGACCCTTGCACAGGCGCTGGTTATGGCTATAAAAGCCAACCCTCTCCAAAAATTTGGCTTTCTACCATTGTGATCTTTTATAAATTCATGTATGGATAAAGGAAAACAACGCATAACCGACTTAGTGAGCTTGAGTAAATGTATGGCAGAACAAGGATTAGGAGAAATAACAAAAAAATAAAATTTATTAAGCGCTACGAAGGACAGGAAATTGTGGAGAGCCATGACCGCCTACGTCCTGAAGGGACACAACGCATAAAAGAAGAAGAAGATGGTTAAAATTAATCTGTACGCCACTCCACCAAACATCAGTAGAACAAAATAGCCCAGGTATATTTACCCTACCTCCCACTAATACAGTATGTGACATAAGGAGATTTACTTGACCCTCCCCCCACTAAGTCAGGTTATGAAACAAGGTCATTTTTTAACGTGGGGACCCGAGTGTTTTCACTCGGGCCGCTGGTCCAAGCTGGTCTTAGCTGGTCATAGCTTGTCCAAGCTGGTCTAAGCTGGCCATAGCTGGTATTGGCTTGTTATAGCTGGTCCAAGCTGGTCTAAGCTGACCATAGCTGGTATTGGCTTGTTATAGCTGGTCCAAGCTGGTTAGAACCGACCCAAGCTTGTCGTGGCCATGATACCACCAGCACAGGGACGAATCCTCGTATCAGGTAAGTATCCAGTATGTGACACAAGATTGGTTTCCGTGAGGAGCATGAATTCACTTTTAGTCTTTTATGTATATTATTAACAAATGGCGTTTACACAATAAGCGGTAAACTTTAATTTGCATAACAATTTTTAACAATCTATTTTAATAAATAATTAATCTGTTATTTATTTTTAATTAAAACTTTGAAACTTGTTATATATAAGCAATGTTTCTGTCGGTAAAGTTTTTTTATAACTCATCATGAAAGAATTTATCTTTAGCTTGTCAAAATTCAGTCATAAGTTAGAAAACCTACAGCGTTCATAATAAGCATCGTTGTGAACTGATATTTCATATTACTACTGATTCGTCGAACGGAGCTGAAAAATTATAGAATTTCTAAATAAGTAAAATAATCTGTTTAATTAATTAGATTTTCTTAAAACTGTACCAAATTATTTAAACAAGTGAAAAAATAGTAAGCTTGTAGAAATAATTTTTATTATTATTAATATAATCATTAGAAAATTATTCAAACGTTTCCGTCGTGGTCAGCTCTATGTAACTATGTCCTTGTAGGGAATTCAACTGATTTTGCCCTAGTAAAGAAAAGAACTTTAGAAAATAAATGTCTTTCTGAAAGTGTTTAGAAGATGAGAAAACTTCTATGATAGTTTACTCTGCTTATAGAATTGTTTTAGAATGAGGGTTCAGTTCGTAAAATGAAATTTAAAGCATTTACTTGATATCATGTCAGAAAAATAATGAATTTGCTTAATTAATTATTATAAACATTAGAGAATTATTCAAATGTTTTTTTTAATGACCAGTTCAGTGTAGCTATGTTCAGAGTAAGAAATTCAAGTGAACTTGGCATAATAACAAAAAAAATTTTTTTTTAAATTATAAAATAGATTTTTTGCTGTAAATGTTATTTATACAGACATTTTAAACCTCACTTTTCTCTGTCCGTAGGACTGGTATTTAACTAGTACATATAATTTTCTATGTCCACGATTTCATTAATGAACATATAGATCGTAAGATAAACTATAATTAATTGATGTGCATTGAGAAAATATAGTGAGACTCACATGCTTCGGTATTATCGTGGGTAAGGCTTTGTAGGAATAATGAAACCGTAACTTAGCTTCATAGATAAACACGAATAATTTACATGCAAACTGTACAATCTTTTTCACAATTATAAATATCTTATTGTTATTTTTTACATGCGTCAAGACGCACTTTAAGTGACACCAGTCATGTACAGTAACTGCGATAGTAGCGTAAAAGAAAAAAGATTTCATTTGTTCCTGCTTTTATATACTATATATAACACGGCTGTCCCGGCTCGATCCAGGGTCCTTCCCACGCTGGCCAGCGCTGATGCCGATCAATTGATAGTTATCTGCTGGCCGCTTCAGTTCTTCATCTGCCCTGCCCCACGCTGTGTTCTTTGATCACAGAGCGATGAAGATCGAATTTTCGCCCGTACTTTAGTGCTGAATCGAGTTGTGGAAGAACATGCTACGAAAAGGACAAAGAATGTTTCCGCTGGTGAAAATACAAATATCATAACAAATAATGAAAAAGGTTGCTGGGTTAATTTTAAATTGGTTTATATACTCTTTGATACAACAACAGTAACCCTTCCAGTTAAACTCTCTTTCGTGACCTTGTGTCTTTTGCTTCTAAAGCTTGAAGCGGGTTAAACATTCACACAAGATGTTTGTTGGGAATTCTGTTGGCAGCAGGTCACGTGGAGTTCAGCAGCCCCTCCTCCGCCACTCTTACATCTCGTCTGCGTCCCTCAGTCTAACTGCAGGCCTAAATTAAGCATTCGATTTATATGCATTTCGTTGACTCTTACCACACCTCAAAACTCATTAATTATTCATCACTTAATTATTTTCTCCAACCTCGGAGACATGATCCCGACAAAGCTGTCAGCTATTTCAAAACAATAAACTTCGTTTCAACATTCCTTTCGACAATCGACCGTTTACCAAACAATAATTTTCTCGTCAACAAACTTTTGTGTTTAAAAATTATCATTTCATTTTGTTTTTCAACTTCCAAAAGGAAGTCGAAAAACAAGTTTAAAATTTTATTGTTTACATTTTGTCTTTACTCAAATTCACTTCCCGGCTGGCAATGACCTTCAAATAAAAAACAGTCAACTATTCAAAACAATGATTTTCCCCGACAACAACTTTATTTTAAACGGCAAAGAATTTTCTTTGTTGTCGACTTCTACCTTTGTTGTCGATTTACCAATACGACCCAAATAATCTTCTGTCCATTTTCAAAACGACACTCTAGATTGTTTACATCCTGGCTTTGAGGATTCATAACATATTAAATTCAGTAAAATTGCTTTAGATATTTTCATTGTACGGTTAATAACCAAAGCGAATCATTACAAACAGAAAATGATTATCATAAAAATAAATCCATGTGACATTGTTATTATAAAAGATAAGTATATATAACAAAATGTTCTCATCAGGAACACAGCAAATTACGTTAAAATCTCCCCCTGTTGTCCATAGGTACTGGGTATTCATTCTACATGTGACGGTTTTACAGGAATGATAGTCCAAGGTGATAGTCCAAGGTAGAACTAATAGAGAAGAACTCGAACACGGATATAGAATAACACAGATATATTTCAAACAGGAATATATACAGAGAAGTAGAAAGTGTTAGTACGAACAATCAGGTCTAGTAGTAATTGTCTGAACGCGACTCTGTTTCGGACTGCCTCTGACTCGACTGACTGACTCGCTCGCTCTGACTGACTGACAGACTCCTGACGGACTTCACTCCAGACTTCAGACTGAACTCTCTGCTTCCTCTTGAGGCGCAGTATTTATTACGTATGGAATAGTCCATTATGTTATCATGGGTAAGGTCCCATAACACACACACACACACACACACACACACACACACATATATATATATATATATATATATATATATATATATATATATAATGGACTCTCCCGTAGGTTTCGATGTATGAAAATCTGACAACTTAACTGATTCAGTTATGAATTTTGTGCAAAAATCTTAAGCGGTACTTAAGACCCGCAAGTGATTTGCAAAAGAGGTCGCATATGGAGCAAGAGTAAAAATTGTGGGATGAGGTCAATTTTAGATTGACTGACATTTTAGATCATTCTCTCACTTTTTGAAGACGATTCAGAGTAGCAGATTGAAAACCGCTGAGTCCACTAAAACATGTTGATCTCCACTCTACCCGCCCCGAGGCTAAGGGCTCGAGGTTG